GGAGGGGCGGGGCGTGCCCCCGCGTTAAAGGTTCACCGTCGTGAGATCCGGGTCATGCCACTGCCACTGCCGCCCGGCCAGGCAGGCTGCGGATACGATACACGCCCCCGAGTCATCTTCTCTCTGCTCCGCTGTTCCCGCTCGTGAGATGAGAGGTATAACTGTTGGAGTGGAGTGAGGAGGGGGGGAGGAGGGGGCAGAGAGGAACCGGTGATTGGCGAGAGGAGGGGGGAGGGAGGGGGAGGGGGGGCACTGCGCGGAGAGTGATAGGCGAGCAGAGCCTCATCTCCGCTCGCCACGCACTGCGGCCCCAACAGGTCGCCCGCGGTGGACCACACAAGTCCCTATGTGTCCCTGGACGCGGGTCGGCCTTGAACCAGTTCACAAGCGGTGCGCCGGCCGAACCTCCTTACGCCGCGCTCATTTCCTCTTCCCCTGCTGCTGCCCGAGCTGCTATACTGCCCGCCCGGTGAGCCCCTCCACGACCCGAACCCTCCAAGGCCGCCCTCCAGCTGATTGCAAGGCGGCAAGCGGCAAGGCCCCCCGTCCGGTCCACGCCGCACCGCCGCGCGGGTGCGGGTCCATGTAGGCCGATGCTCCCCGTCCCCGCGGGGCGATCACGGAACTCTCGCCGCGACACACACACACGCACACACACACATACACACACAGCGCGTAGACTTGAACCATTTCCGGACCGACACTGACCTGGTCCACACCGCACTACTTTGAATGCACCCACGCCGGCCAATGATAGCCATCTCAAACAACTACCAACGATGCTGCGACAAACCGGCAATGTTGTTGTTATTGTGTGCGAGGGGTTGGTTGCCCCTCTGCACCACCACCACGTCGACGACGACGACGGGGCGCTCGCCTGCTCGTCGTCGTCGAGGAGGTCGTCCCTTCGTGCTCACGCTCATCCTGACCACCCCATCTCTTCTCTGTGCTGCCCGCAGGACCGCCGCCGCCGCCGCCGCTGCTGCTGGCGCTGCTGCTGTGCCTCGCCGCGTCGCCGAGCATCTTCGCGCCGGCGGAGGGGCGACAGCCGGTGAGTCAGCCGCCGAGCCGCACGCACGCACACACACGCACACACGCTCACACACACACGCACGCACACACACACGCACACACCGGGCCGGACGAGCAGACCGCGCCGCGGGTGGGCCGGGGCCGCAGCACACGTCTGACCACTTCTGACCGGGCCTGACCCGCTGCCCCACCCTGCAGCTACACTGCAAAAAAACAAAAATAGACTGCGAGAAAAATTGGCAAAAAACTCACTCTTTCTCTCTACACAGGGGGAGCAGTCCTTCCGGCCCAATGCGCTGCAGAGCTCGTTTCCACCGCCGCCGCCACCGCCACCACCGAGCTTCGGCGCGGCGTCGTCCTCGTTCAGCGCCACCCTGGCCGCCACCACACGCTTCTTCGCGTCCTTCAGCTCCACGTCGTTCAGCGAGTCCAGCACCCAAGTGTGAGTAGAGCCGGCACAAGCCCTGCTGATCAGAGACGGAGATGCAGACTGTTACACAATGTCAAATCCCCCAATGGCATGCTGCTTGGCCCGGCGCGGAGTATTTCCCGCTAAAAGTATAAACGTCTTAGGCCTTTCAAAGAAATGGCGCACTTGCGGTCTTTGTCTCGGTGTAAATTCTAAAAATCTAACCCGATGGAAGTTTCTACCGCACCCGTGCAACCTCGGATGTTGCACTACTTCCCCGAGATCCGATGCCACGATCCCCGATCCCCAGACGTGTTTCCGTCCACATCTGACCTGTGTTCCCTGTATGCTCTCTGACCTGCAGCGCGTGCGTCCCCGGCGAGGGCGGCACCTGGCCCGTGCCCGGCACCAACTGCAACATGTTCTACCGCTGCGGGGGCGGGCGGCGGCCGCTCGAGTTCAAGACGTGCCCGCCGGGGAAAGTCTACTACGCCGAGTATCAGGTACGCCCTCCACGGGACCGTAGCACTAAATACGTCATTTTCGGATGTTGGGTACTTTTTTTTTCACGGCCCTCTATTCGAGTTCAGGGTTGAAAGCGGGAATCCCTTTGGACGCTATGATAAAGTTAACCCCACGGGAAAAAATACCCACGGGGATACAATTATCATGGCGACTCCCAAACACTTCCGTTTGCAACGCTGAGTTCAAATGTGGTGCCGTGATAAAAGTACCCCGCCCGTCGAAAGTGGCGTAGTCTGTGACGACCCCGATGCGACGACACGATGGTGTTATCAAGAACTCCTCTCTGACGCGCCTCCTCTCCCCCCGCAGGACTGCCAGTACCCGACGGCGTCCTGGCGCTGCTGGGAGCCCATTTGCACGGGTCGCGTGGACGGCCCTTACCCGGACTGGTCCACCAACTGCCGGCGCTCGGTGCGCTGCCAGGGCGGGCGCGTGACGGCGGCCATCGGCTGCCCCGCCGGCCAGCTGAGCGGCGGCCACACGGGCTGCCGGCCCGCGCACGAGGTGTCCTGCCCGCGCGTGTCCGAGGGGTCGGCGCCCGTGCACCTCGCGCCGCTGCGGCCCGCCGCGCCCGCCACCAGCCCCGGCCCCGCGCACCCGCTGTGCTTCGGCAGGTCGCCGTCGCTCACCCAGGACCGCTCGCCCGCCTCGCGCTGCCGCCAGTACTTCCGCTGCTCGGCCGGCGGCCAGCGCTCCGTCGAGACCTGCCCCGGCGCGCAGGTATGTACGTCATCGGGGTAGCTTTTCAGGTGGCGGGATACTCTCCCCACGGGGTCGGGGTACTTTGGGGAAGCCGTGATAAATCTAAATCTTCTGTAAATTTTCCTAGTGGGGTATCTTTGCCATTATGGCTAGTAAAAGAAGTACCCCACTCTTCATAAATTACGATTATAACGTCATGATGACGCGAATGTGAGCTTCATAAGTGACTTTGTTTCGCACCTCCCTCTCTTGTCGGACCAGAAGCATGATCTATGTTCTCGTGCTACAGGTGTTTGATGGCATCCGCTGCGTGGACCCCGAGTACTACACGTGCAGCGTGGAGGGCGAGTCGTCGGCGTCCTCGTCGTCGTGCGAGCACCTCCCCGACGGCACCTACCCCCAGCCCGGGTCGCGCTGCCGCGCCTACTACCGCTGCTCGCTGGGCTACAAGAGCGTGTTCGTCTGCTCCGGGGACGCGGTGTTCGACGGCGAGCGGTGCGTGCCCAACGCGCGCTGCGTCGAGGACACGGGCGTCGCCTCGCTGTCGCAGCAGTTCACGCACCCGCAGCAGCCGCAGCAGCAGCAGCTGCGACCCCAGTCCCCCGAGAGCAGCCTCTGCGCGGGCAAGTCCCACGGGTACTTTGCCGACCCAGCCTCCAGGTGCAGGAGGTGAGTGTGCGTCGGTGCCGGCCTGGGTCAAAGGTCAGGGTGGGACAGGGGGAGGGGCAGTTGGGGCAGTGCGCCAGCAGTCGGCGCGCTGAGCGCCTGTGGGGTTGTGGGTAGGCAACCCGCAAGCATCTGTGCGCGCGTGTTGCCTACCACCGCAGGCGGCACGTCGAGGCCCTGGGATAGGCCAGGCTAGGCGGCCTACCTGCGCCACAAGGATCGCAGAATTGAGACCCATAGTTGATGCCGAGCAAAACGGTTATTTTATATATTTTTAGCAGATGATACCTTAAATAGCTTTAGACTAAACATAAAACATATATATATATAAAACTTTAAGGTGTCAGCAGCTTGTACTCTCGAGAAGGGCAGAGAACCAAAGCGCATGACGTCACCCAGATGTATAAGGGGCGCGAGAAGTCGCCAGCGCCGCCCGTGCCCACCAACAATACCCAACAATACTGAGCCACGGATGCCGCCCGGCCTGCCTGCTGCCCCCTATCCTATCTCTTCCTCTATGCCATGCCGCTAGTCCGTTGAATTGCAAGAAAGCAATTGCTAAAAGTGACAAACAGCCATAAACAAATAACAGCAAAATATGAGAGAAAATTAGGGCACAGACATATCCTTAAATTTGTATCATCTGCTTTCACGATACGTCCCTCGACGTAGCTTTTTTCAAAATTTATTGACTTTTTCTTGTGCCCCTCAGGTACGTCTACTGCCTGTCGGGCGCGCCCGTCGGCACCTTCAGCTGCGAGGCCGGACGCCGGTTCGACGGCCGGCTCTGCGTGGAGACGGAGTACTGCGCCGGCTTCCCCGTCGGCCCGTCCTCGCTGCCGCCGTTCCAGCAGCCGCAGCCGCAGTCGCAGCACCAGCAGCAACTGCACCAGCTCCTGCGCCAGCACCAGCAGCAACAGCAGCAGCAGGCGCCGCAGCAGGGCTTCTTCCCGGACCTGGCCTCCGGCTGCAGGAACTACTCGTTCTTCATCGCCGGCCACGAGACCAAGCTGTCCTGCCCGCCGGGGCTGCTGTTCAACGGGCAGCTGTGCGTCAGTGAGAACACCTACACCTGCCCGACCAGCCTGCCCACCGGCTAAGGCTAAGGCAGCAGCGGCTGCAAGGCAGGGCATGTGAAAGGAAGACAGCGCACCCGCGCGACTGCGGCAGGTGGGAGAGCAGAGCCGGCCGCATGAGCCGCAGGCCGAGCATGGAGGCCTCGATGGAGGCCCTGGGGCAGGTGGGAGCTCCCCGGCAGGGCAGAGGCGGCCGCTCAGGCGCCTCGAGGAGGCTGACGGCGTGCCACGGTGAGCTCTCGGAGAGCGAAGGTGGGCAGCCCTGGCTTGAGGGTCGGCAGGGCAAGGCTGCACCACCTTATCGGCCGTTCGAGAGCTTGGCACATGCTACGATTTCTATGAAAGCTAAGAGATTAATTTAGTATAGCGACAGACCAAAAGATGGTAATTCACCGCACCGAGACATGGGAGCTCAAAAATGGGCAAAAAACAAGAATCTAGTCAATTATTATTTATTCCTATTTATTGTAGAGTACTTCAATTTCCTTCCATGGCAAGACTTCATGGAAATAAAATGTACGAACCATCCAATTTAAAGAGGAACAAAAATATGGTTCAAATGAAATTGAAGAAAAAATTGTAGATTAAACAAAAAAAGTCATAAGCAGTTATTTAGTTGATGTTCAGTCTACTGTACTTATATAGAATGTATATAGATAGATATTTCTGTACATAAATGGAACAAGTATTAAAACTTTATTACAGCGAATAAACCTTATTATTTTTGAACAGTTAATCAATTAATAACACAACACCTATGAACTATAAGGACTTGGTTATTCCAAGGCTGAGAAACAAATGTGACTGAAATAATGTTTTATCAACAGATGGCACATAACATTGGTTAAAACCGAAAACAAAACCACTAAACATAAGAAAGTATTTAGTGGGGACATTACTACAGACTTTTCTTGGTACTGACTACAGCCCGTAGTGTACCATTGAGTTCTCTCGAGAAGTGTTGCTATATACTAACATTGCACAAGGTATAAAACCCTTAATAAGAATTTCATCAAAGTCTTACAAAGTGGAATGGAATATAACATGAGGAAAGTTATGAAGGGTAATGGTAGTTGTAGGCTATAAAGTGTACAAATTTTTAAACAGAAATAGGATTGTGGTCACAGAACTGGTACAGGTAATATCTTTTTAGTTGGTGCAAGATTTAAAAGAAGGTTTTTTAAGAAAGATTTTAAAAGAAAGATTACAGTGACATTGTAAGGTAACATATTGTTCTTCAAGCAGCCCTGAGAAAAGAAGATGGAAAATTAAAACAAATTAAAAACTTCAAAACCTGTTCATTTACATACTTTACAACAGAAAAAGAAATGAGCCCATCTATAGGCTATAGAAAAATAAAGCGTGACTTATGATTCTTCCCTAAGCACTGTACATCAGTGCACTGCCTTATTTGGTCTTCAATACTAAACCTATTCACTATAGCTCGCACTGACAAAAATTTAAGGGTGGACTATGCAGCACCAAACAATATAAAAAAATACAGCTTTAACAGGCTCTATTTGGAAAAAAATGGTCTTATTCAAAAAATTTAAAGCATGATACTATACAAACATTAGGGACATGGAAACATTTGTGTCATGAGATAAGCTGCCTACACATCAATATTTGAAACATGCCTTCACCAACAGCTGACAAGCTCACAACAAATGGTCAAACCATAAAGGATTGTATTCATGATTCATGTAAAGATCACAGAGTCTCCCAGTGAGACGGTTATCAACAAGTAGAACCGTTTGATGATAGCTCTACATACCCAGTCTGAGAAAATGTCAAAGACTTTTCTGAGGCCATAACATGCAAACTGGGAAGCAAGTTTAAAAATTGCACTATGAATTATTTGGAATTTTGCATCCGAGAAATAATAATTGCAAAGAAACAACTAAACAATAGAAAACCAATTACTTTAATAAGGTCCAGAAGTGAGCGAATTGATGCAGTGGAACTTTGATGTCCACAAAATGCATACTAATCCAGCACTTCTGAATTACCACAGACTCAATCCAAGATTAAAGCCGTTCATTGTTAAATTTACTTGTTAGTTAACATTCTTTGGAGTTTTGAAAATACCTACAATGTACCACAACATACTCAAATAATTACTCTGGCATTTGTTTCAGTTAGACTGATTAAATTATCTCCACAGCCAAACAGGATTGCTATTCCCCAGGAACCAAAAGGGCAAAAGTGTACATTTAACTTTTCGACAATCACGCATACTTCACTCTTACTCATCTTACACATCCAAGAGAGGAGCAAAGATTACAGGCAAACTTTGAAGTCCAGTATATGACATCATGCATATAGATATTTTATACAAGAACACACACACAGTCAAAGCACTTGACAACATATGAATAGCAACAGAGAGAACAGAATATATAGTAGATCTAATGCTCATTGCAAAACAGCTGAGATGTCCCAAAGTTTCACAATATGGTCTTGTCCAACAGTCAAAAGTCGCTTTTGTGGTTCATCAACATCCATTGACACAATACTGTGCTTCGCCTCCATGAAAACTGCACGTGAAGGGTGACTGAAAAATAATTAAAAAAGCAACAGGGTTAAAATTATTAGATAAAATTTTGTTGTTAAATTTTATTTTAATTAACACATTACTTACTCCTCTCCTTTTAGTTTATTGTAGCAAGGTTCACAAACACGCACGTCAAATTCAAAACCCATCGATGGGATTGCATGCCTTGGTGCTGAGCATCTATCACAAACAGCTCGCCCACAGCATCGACAGTGGTGCTGTCTTAATCCTAATTGCCTTTGGTCCATCATGGCTCTCAAATTCCAAAAGAAAGGACGATCACATCTTTGACAGATATCAGAGTCAGCCCACTGAGGAGTCTGATGATAAGTTTATGAAAATACAACATTAGAAGAAATATTCATGAAATTACAAGAATCAGCCAACCTTTTCGCTTACCTCAACCCGACTTGTTCTCATGTCCCAGAAAACCACGACTGAATCTTCTCCACCAGAAACCAAAATTTGCCTTGTTGGTGCATAGCATATAGCCGTAATTTTATTTCTAATTTAAAGGAGAGGAACACATTTCTGTTAAAAAAGAAACACCTACATGTCTTATTATTTGAACAGAAGTAATACTCACTGGTGACCATTCATTTCATAGGCTGTACCACATTGCCCGCCAATATCCCATGCTATGACTTGCTGGTCAAAGCTTCCTGAATACAGAAACTGACCATTTGAGTCCCAAGTCAGGGCCCGGATGCTTCCAGTATGTCCCTTGAGGTTTGTTACATAACGAATGACACCACTGACAACACCACCACTGTTGCCAATACTAGACTGAGCAACACCTTCATCAACTTTAAGCATAGTGATGTGACCAGCATAGTCACCAACAAATATCATTTTAGCTAGAGAATCAATACTTCATTTAAATTAAGGACTTATACCAACAGAAAATCACAAAAAAAAAAGAAACAAAAAACAACTTGTATAAAGCACCAAAAGGATACGCAACTGCAGTGCACCAAGCTTCACTGACAAAAGACCCAAGGCAGAGGCCAGATTGAGCACAATGCAGTTTGAACATTTTGTCCCGGCCAACACTGAGAAGCCATTGACATTTTTCAGAGAGAAGAACGGAAGTCACACGACCTGTATGAGCTTGATAGTCTTTTGAATGAGAGATTCTGTTGCGATCTTCAGCCACAAGAAATTCCTAAAATAAACATACCAGAAGTAGAGGAAAATTATGAATTATGAATGCAAAATATTGAATTATTTTGAAAATAATAACAATAAGAGTAAACAAACGTACCGAAACAATACCATTATCCTGCCCAACAAATAATCTTCGAGACGCTTTGCAGAAATGAAGAGCTGTGGCAGCCGATGGCATGTATTGACAAACACTTGGCCAGTATTGTCCTGATTCTCTTTTCAGCCATATTCGAACGGTTCTAAGCAAACAAAAGGGACAAAATGTAGGTACATTTCAAACAAAAACAATTAATGATGATATTTTGGGCTGAGAAAGATAAGAAGAGATAATGCAAAATCTGCACTAACCCTGCTGTTCTGTTATGATACAGTGAGAAAGTAAAGACAAATTAGAAAAAGTGCAGTTATTTTAGCAAGGTCATAAGGACAGAGGACTTTGAACGATATACCTGGAAACCAGCAATGAATCATTTCCACTCACCTGTCATCGCAGACAGTGATGACAGCATCTTCGCCAGGGATAATGACTGCTGCATTCACATCATCATTAAAACCTTCAAGCTTCGACACCAAGACGGGCTTCCTCGGCGTATTAAACCTATCATTAAGGCCAGGACCAGGCTTAATTTCTGCGGCCATGTTCGCTTTTTTTCGCTATTCCATTCGCACTTTAGCAGCCTATTTCGGAGTGTCAAAGTATACAAAAGCGGCTGGTTGTACGACAAATGACACATGAATGAAAATACGCCTGTTCGAAAAGATAGGGGGTCAACAGACACAAGGGAGAAAAAATAGTTTGACTGTTCAAGAAAGTAAGTAGCAACAAGACCCAATTTTGTGTATTTGAAGGCTTATCATTTATTGCATGTTAAGCGGTTGTCGTAATCTTGTTGACCTCATAATTTAAATCCGAAGAAAATTACTCAAAAGAACAAATCCTATTCCTTCCCTTTGCTTAAGCGATACTGGACAACCTTGATGAGTCTGCGCAGTCGCAGTGCGGAGTTGGGAGAAGTTAGTCCGTAGCCAAACGGGCCAAACCAAACTTTGGTCCATCAGGCGACTTGCCTGTTTCAATCACCAAAAATGATGTCTCTGGCAAGGTATGACCGATAATGCTTTCTTTTAGACTATATGAACCTTCAAGGCCAAGTTTTCTTTCTGTTATTTGAACTGTATTCCCGTTGATTAGGGGAGGGAAACAGCTGTGTGCAATGTTATGATCAATGGGTGCATCATCGCCTTTATAATTTTATCTTTCCTATCTAATAGTTCTGTGATGGTTTCGCGTACTGTAGTTCATATATCTAAACTCGTTGTGGCTCAGCTCATCACCCTGAGTTCGACCCAGTTAATTTGCGATTGCAAGATTTTTTCCTAGTTTATAACCTATAAAAATTCCTGAACTCTCTTGGTTAGAAGGTGCAGCAGAAGTTGTGTGACGTGTGACCATGCCTGTTTTGCTCTCCAGTTTGCTGCCAGCCCCCTCACAACCAGTCTGGGATCGCGATGACGCCCGACAGAAGCCAGCTCCCTCTCATGGAGCGTTGGTGTCAGCACAATGGACCGCTCCACCTTACGGTCAACGAAGGGGCTGGATTCCTCGCACAGAACAGGTTTGTATACCCCCAACAGAGATTTTACGTGTTATTTTTCGTTTTACTTAAATGATGATTGCACCAAACAGGACTATGGAGATGGTGGTGCCTTCCCCGAGATTGCTGTGGCTCAATACCCCCTCAACATGGGACGTGAAGGAAAAGAAAGTTCATCTAATGCCCTAGCGGTTCAACTAGATGCGACAGGAAAAATTAAATACGATGTTATTGCAAGGCAGGGTCATGGTAAAGACAAGGTAAACTATCCATTCATTAGTGATCTGAACCTCATACATGCAATAAAGTTAAACTCTCCAACTAATTAATTTCTTTTCAGATTGTATACTCCAAGTTGTCAGACCTTCTACCAGCAGAGGTACTGGCTGAGGATGACCCTAGCTTAGAAAAACCTGATGTCGAGGAACTGGAAGAAACTACTGATAGAACACGACAAGCTTTGGAAAGGATTACACAAACAAAAATAGCGGCTGCAATGCCTGTGAGATGTGCTGAAAAACTTGTAAGTTAATGACTCATTTTTTGTGTTGCCAAATTTAGTCTTCGCATGTTTTTTAAAATTTTTTATTTAACCTATCTTAAAACTTTTCAGGCCCCCGCTCAATATATCAGATATACACCATCTCAACAGGGAACTTCCTTCAACTCTGGAGCAAAACAGAGGGTTATCAGAATGGTTGAAGCACAGAAAGATCCGATTGAACCACCCAAATTCAAGTAAATCTCCCTTTCTTTTCAATTTCCTGTGTATTTGTTTCTTTCTAATTTCTAATGCTATCGTACAACTCTCCAGGATCAACAAAAAAATTCCACGAGGCCCACCTTCTCCTCCTGCACCAGTGATGCATTCCCCAACCAGAAAAGTAAGATTATGAATGGTGTCTGAGTACTATTTGAGTCTACATTTTCTGTGAAGTTAGTTTTAATTCACTGCCTTAACATTGTTTTTTACCATTAGGTTACAGTCAAAGAGCAGAAAGAGTGGAAAATTCCTCCCTGCATATCAAACTGGAAAAACGCCAAGGTAAATAGAGCTGTCCCAATTTTCTTTCTGTTTCTTACATATAGCTTATTTCTAATTATTTAAATTGTACTTTCTAGGGTTATACAATTCCCCTTGACAAACGTCTTGCTGCTGATGGCAGAGGTCTACAACAAGTTCACATCAATGAAAACTTTGCAAAATTGGCTGAAGCATTATACATTGCTGACAGAAAGGTATAGTACAATTTAATGTTGTCTATGTGTCATTTACTTTCCCTTCATGCCTCTAATTCTAATTTTATTATGATCCTTGATAGGCAAGAGAGGCTGTTGAAATGCGAGCTCAACTAGAGAAGAAACTTGCCCAAAAAGAGAAAGAAAAGAAAGAAGAGCATCTCCGAGCGCTGGCCCAGAAAGCTCGGGAGGAACGAAATGGTATTCGTACCGCAAATATTGTTGGTAAGTAATTTTCACATTCTGTAACATCCAAGTCCACATTCTTCCATCTTCACTTTGCCAAAAACTTCTTTCTACTCTCAGATAAGGATGAAGAAGCACGAGAAAGAGATCAATTGAGGGCAGAGCGTCACAAGGAGAGGCAACGCGATCGCAATTTGGCTCGTGCTGCTCCTGATAAGAGGTACTTTTTATTTAACTTAGGGCTTTACAGGCATCAGGTTTTACTGGATATTCTGAATTTAACTCATATTTTTGTTCTTAGATCCAAGCTGCAACGGGAAAGAGAACGTGACATCAGTGAACAAATTGCTTTGGGTATGCCGGCCAAAACTATTGCTGGAGGTGAAGCACAGTTTGATCAGCGTCTCTTCAACTCGAGCAAAGGAATGGATTCAGGGTATGCTGATGATGAGGCATACAATGTCTATGACAAACCCTGGCGTGAAGGCTCCAACCTTGGTCAACATCTATACCGCCCAGGCAAAAATGTGGACAAGGAAGTGTATGGAGATGATTTGGATACTCTCATCAAAACAAATCGGTGAGTAAACCAAACTTTTTAGTCCGTCTGCTGTGTCATACAGTACATACATGGACTGCCAGCGCCACATTGACAACATCTCGGTTGTATTCTACAGGTTTGTGCCCGACAAGGAATTCAGTGGCACCGACCGCAATGCCGCGCGCAGCGGGCCAGTTCAGTTTGAGAAGGAAGAAGAAGATCCTTTCGGTCTGGAGCGGTTCCTCACTGAAGCCAAGAGGGCGAGCAAGCGGCCGAAGGACGACCGGAAGAAGGACGATCGTAAAGATGACAAGGACAAGAGGCGCAGGAGAGATTAGTGTGGTGATCATGCTGACCTGGTGCACAAAGTGCAGAGCAGCTGGAGACCGCATCCTGAGTCACCCATTTGCAGACCACTTCAATTTGGATTTTGTTTTTTTTTACAATGTTAATTGTATATATGTGTTACTTATTAATGTAATCTA